ACATAAGCATTTTGCAATAAATACGTGCATCAAATCATCACATTGGACATCTTAATTTTATGTCAATTATATATCAGTAAAGCTGGGGGAAATGGAGGACCAACATAGGTTATATTATAAACTGTCTTCCACTTTTTTGTTTATTTTCAGTATATACAGTTATCAACAATTGTTGATTATTCTGCAAATCCTAAATTTGAGATTGGCTAGTGAGTGTTCACATTAGTGCAAAGATATCCCAAAGACAAGTTAAGAAAATTGCTCTTTATATTAACTAGTAGAATAGGTTTTTAAAGCCATTCTCACAATTTTAAATAAGAATGATCTTAAAGATCTGTAATTTTTAAAAGTGTACATTTCAAGAACATGCTTATAATTTCAAAGCATCTCACATAACCACAGGTAAGGAAATGCTAACATAAATATAAGGGTTCATGAGAGACGATCTTCACTTTAGAATTTCCCAAATCATACCCCTGAATCCAAGATAAAAGTTGGTATTTTCAATTGACCCAAAAAGTTTAATTTTTCATCAGTTATGAAAACTTGATTTACAACATAGTAATTATATCAAATAGTCATTTATTAATTGTGCACTCAAAGTATATAAAGAATTGAAGAAATATGTTACACAAAAATGTCTTTGCCTTCCAGAAATTTAAGTATTCATTATTTTCATTGGAAATAGTAACAAAAATATGCAAAAATATGGCAAGCAATTTCAACCTGTCAGTGGTACTCAGGGAAAAATAAATACCAAATACACCTTTGAGTAAGTAGACCTGATATTTATTTCAAAGACCAAAGACCATCACTAAATGTGATGATTTACAAAAGGATGAAAGAAACTGTTTAGCTATACCATCTTTTCTAAAATTTTGACAATATAAAAAAAATTTTTTTAAACATACAATCTATAATCAAGGAGTTCACTTTTTAAAATTCTATTTTAGTTCTAAGTTCAATGCTTCTTTATTATGTAATTGCACTTTTCATGATGAATGAATTTTAATTTTAATAATTAACCTATTAGTATCAAATATGTATATATTTGCTAAAAACTGAAACACACACACAAAATATAGTTGTTTCTGAGTGATGGATGAGATGGTACATGATTTTTTTTTTTAGGTTTTTTTTTTTTTTTTTGAAGGGAAGGTAATTAGGTTTAGTTATTTATTTTTTGGAGGAGGTACTGGGGATTGAACCCAGGACCTTGTGCATGCTAATCATGCACTCTACCACTTGAGCTATACCCTCCCCCCTGGATGGTACATGATTTTAATTTTCCCCTTACCATATTTTTGTAGTATTCCCTTTTAAATTTGTCTACAGTGACTATGCACTATATATAATAAAAAGTATTTTTAGGAAGAAATAATATAGTTAGTCTCTAACTCATAGAAAACACATTATTACCTAACCTGTCAGTGATGTTAAAAAAAATTCTGTGATTTTAAAAATAAAATGTTTTCCTGGATTTCACCTCCACCTTCACTACTCTCAACCATGTTATCATATACAACTCTCATCACGATAATTGACAGCAGGTTATCAACAACCCGCGTCTATTAGAGAGGTTCCATGAACATGGGCTCCAGGCAGGAGACCAGATTCAGAGAAACTGAATCATTCACTGAAAGGCAATGCTGGAATCCTAGTCTCTCTACTCTCAGTGTGAGCTGTGACATTACAGAACTGTCAAAAGCCAGAAACAGAACCTCTGAGCAGGGATGACAGAAGGATCTGGTCAGTAAAAATTCTTCAAATGCTAGCTACACTCTAACACTGACAGAGTATTAGCAGAGATATTTAGGGGGAAATGTTTCAAAAGTTATTGCTTTCGGCAAGAACTGTTATCCAGAGATTTTTAAAATATTCATAGCTTTTGAGCCAGTATTTCCATTTCTAGATCTCCCCCTAAAGAAATGAAAATGTGCACAAAATTTATGTCCAAGTATGTCAGTGCAATGGCTGATTTTTTAGCTACAAAGGAAAAATGGCTGTTAAAACAGGCAGAGTAATCCAGAGGCTTATTGTTTAGAAGTTAAAAAATGTTCCCTCATACTCCCATTCACCTTCCATTTTGATCTTCCTAAAGTAGTCAAAGTTAAAAAGATTAATGTAGATTCTTCCCCATTTAACATATAATCACACACACACATACACACCAGGATTTTTTAAAGTAAAAAAAAAAATAAGATTTTTAAACTGCATTACAGTCTGCTCTTCTTTTTCACTCAACAGTAGATGACAGACATCTTTCCAGATCAGTACACTGATAGCTAATACCACTTAGCTATCAACTCTATTTGTTGAACATTTAAGTCTTTACCAATCTTTTTGCCATGACAAAGAATGGTGAAGGTAACATTACAGGTTTTATTTTATTTTTATAAGACAACCCTTCTCATTAAAAATAAAAGTAATCATATACAGAGAAGGGAGCTGGATCAAGGATTGTAAATACGCAAGAAATTACTGCAACATGTTACTATACTCTTCTCTTTTGCAGTTGCGTTTCCATTGGAATAATCTGATTCCTGTTTTTCCAGAGGCATCCACTGCCCTCCTGGAAAATCAGGATTGTTACAGGAAGAATGAAAGGATAAGGACTGTGTCAGAATTCAGCTTTTTACAGCAAAAGCAGGATTTTTGGAGACCATGGAAACATGACTGTTACAGAAATAATGAAAAGAGAAAGAAGAGCTCAGTGTTCAGATTTCTACAGCAACAGCAGGATTTGGGGGAGACTACAACTGGACAATAGCATCTGGCAGCTGCCTGGGAGCCTATGGAGGGGGTGGGGGAGACCATGCAGCTACGGGGCACCTCCAGGCCCTGTGGCCTCCCTGACAGCCCAGGGGTGAATGAGTGACTGGCCAGTGCAGGGTTACTGAAACCTACCCTGGCCAGTGCTTTGGGGCAGAGATAACCTCGTGTTCACTGGTTCTTCTATGCTCCCAGTCCAGGGATGTGGACAAGGGACGTATCCCTCTGGCCCTTAGTTTCTCCATCTGTAAAACGGGGGTCCTGATTCTCAGCGAGATCAGTTATGGAGAGAACTCAACTCAACTGGGAGACTTACCATCACAGAACAGTAGCAGCTACTGTCTTCAGAAGGCCAAGGAGAGGGGACAGAAAGGCCCTCACTTCCCAGCGCCCACAACAGGCTCTGGGAGGGCACGAACTGACAGCCTGTCCCCACTCTCAGCCCAGGTCAGGTCAGCCCCAAACATCCCTGAGTGCACAAATGCCCACTTTCCTTCTTTCACCAACTTCCCTCTTGTCCACCACTCTATTTTAGTAAACTTTATTACATTGGAGTCTTTGGCTTTTACTATTAAATATCTTATTTATTAATTGGTTTTGCAGTTTTCAGAAAGTTTTTCGACTTCCACTGTTTCATAGGCAGCAGTCAGAGCACCTTTCACTTTTCCTCTTTCTCCTCACTTTTTGTTAGACATATTTTGCTTTTTTAAGTGCCGTATCTTGAAAAACCTTCCAAGTGTCTTTCACTGTGATTTATCTGTTCAGATTTTCCTCCTTCTTTGGGATTTTATTTTGGTTGATTACATTTTGCTGGGATTGCATATGCATTTCTTTTCATTTTTCCAATTTTCTGCCATTAAGCTGTATGCCACTGCGTGCCATCTTTTTTACTTGAAAAGGGTTTCCACCATCAGATAACTGATTGGTCTTCAGCGGGTTGAATTTTTTCCTTTCTGGGCTGAGATGCTATCAGTGGACAAACCAGCAAATTCCCACCTCCCTGCTTAAAGTCTTGAGGAAGCAGCTGACCAGTACCAAGTGTGTTCACAATGCGACCACCTGCGCTTTCCATCCACAGAGACAAGGAGCAACTCATTGCTCACCCGAGGTCCACCGAAGTGCCCATCCAGAGCGCCGCTCGGTCCCCACAACAAAGTACAGATGCCCATCCTGTCTCAGATTATCCAATGGAGTTGACCAGCTTTGCCTACTTTCTCCACAGAGGATGGGGACCACGCTTGCTGTCTCCCCTGGAGATCTCTGGGGAACACGTCGAACCAGAGGCATCTTCTACCATTCCGTGTCCTCCAAAGCAACAGAACTAGAGTGTGGCTACTGCCTGCTCAGCCTCCTGAGTATGCTGACGTCTTTTCAGAGTTAGTTCTGGTCTCGCTCCAACTTCCCTTTATCAGTAAGAAGGGCATAAAATCTTGCATCTCTCTGACAAAAGCAAACCAGTAATGCAGTACCTTTCCTACCATTATGCCCAAGTTTCACAATCTTCATGAAATTAAGGGCAGAAAGATACAATTTTCATAAAAATGCACATGGTAGATGCTTGGCATCTGTCAAAGAAACAACTGATTTTCAACTACTCCTGAGCACTCTGCTGTTTAGGAAAACTGCTGCTTTGCTGAGGTCCGGTTAGGAACCTGTCACCCTGCGGGGCTGGTGAGCTGGGACCCTCCCGTGAGCACAGAGTGGGCCTTGCTGTGCTGAGGCAGCAGCATTTCCACTTGACTTCGATGTGTACTTATTTCTATTCTAGTCATCATCTAGTTCAGGGGGATTCTCTTGAAAGAGCTGAAGGATTCTCTCAGAGGTTGTGGTCTGACAAATGACTCAACAGACATTAGAAGAAAGGTCCGTGTACAGAGCAGCTGTGGAAGCGTGCCATGAGAAAAAGGTTCTGGTGTGCCCACCCCCCTGTTACACGACGGCAGCACAAGGTCTGCGCTAACTGCACTGCCAAAGCCCAGGAAAACTGAAAGAGGCTGGATGGATGCACTATGTGTCAATAACCAAAGAACTAGGCACCAGGTGAAACTCCAGGGTAGGTTTCAGGGGTTTAGGAAATGGGTTTTACTGAAGAGGGATGGACAGAACAGACAGTGCGCATTTAGAAATACATGGAAAGCACACATCACTTCTTTTTGCCTTTCTAACATCAAAGGAAATGTGGTAGGGATATACTTACAGGAAATCCAAAATTACATTTTGTGACTTACCTTGGAAGATCGGAAGGTAAATGCTGTCGACTTGACGTCAGCTTTTTCCTTGTCCATGAGTAGAAGGCTTTTGTCCTCCAGGAGACTCAAGTATTTCCCTGTTGTGACGTGGCGGAGTCGGAAAGGCTGGCCCCATCTTATGTGGCTCCCACTCCACCTAAGAAAAATAGGTAAGACTTGATCCAATGGCCAACACAACCACAGGAGAAACAGCAATTACAACGGCGCATGTCAGACAGTGACCAAAGGTGCTCTGCATATACTGTCTTATTTAATGTTCTCAAAGACCTTATGAAGTTGGTGATACTAATTTTGTTTCACAAACAACAAAATGGTTATTTGGAACAACTAGGTAAGATTCCATGTCATGCAGCTAAAAGTAAGTAGAAGGGAAATTTACCTCAGATCTTCTGACATTGAATGTAATACTATCCACACCAAACACTACCCCATGCAAAGATGACTAAGAACTTGTGTTCTATGTTAACCTCTAATCACGAGTCACAATTATAGACATTATGACTTTAAATGAGATTTCAGAATTTACCAGTTTTGAGCTGGATTTGCATAGACTTGAAAAATAGTGCCTAATTATGGTTAATTGGAACTCATATATATAAAGTGAATTATGTAGTATCTTAAAAAGGAGATCTCTTCCTATTGTTTAGGTTTTAATGTGGAACAAAGCTATCATTAAAAATCAATGAACAAAAAAAACAAATCAAGAAAATAAATTCTAGTAAGTTCAAGAGGAAAAAAGGGAAAGAAAAAAATAAATGCAGCACACAGAAAATATAAACTAAGAATGCAGAAAAAAGATAAAAAGCAAAGCTGTGATCATTAAAATCTGCTTTTAAAAATAATGACATTCAAATAGGGCAGAAAAGAAAAATTAAGATTTAGACTGTCCTTGCTTTGCCAGCACTGTGTTAACTGAAAGCTGCACACATCAGATTCTTGCACTCACTACGGTATAGAGCGGAAACAAGGTTCTGATAACAGTGATGCTAAAAATCAAGTATGTTTTTAAAAACTAAAAATGGTTTACCATGCATAGATAGTATCAAAAGAAAATAATGATGGTCAAGTTGATATTAGACAAGTCAGAATTCAAGGCAGAGTATAAAGGGGATACTGGGTATTTTGTAATGAAAGATATACTCTCAAGAGAATGTACTATGTCATGAAGCTTCACATGTCAGTGCAAACAGAAAATGAAACAAAAGAAAGAAACACAAGGATAACTTTTAAAAAGACAATTACCGTGGAAGCCTTTACCACTATGTAATGAATCAAATACATAAAAAGTAAAGATATGGAGGATTTCAATAGGATTTTATTAGTTAATAAGTGTTTTAATATAGAATCATTAAAAACATTCATATTCTACAAGTTGATAAGATTATATAAGATTCACCAATCTCAGTGAACTATAAGTCAATTTTATGCTGTTTTCCCAATCTAGATCTTTGACTCAAGATATTAGCAAGGAAAATTAACAGTAGAATGATATTCTAATGAGTTCATTCTTATATGGATTTGTTTCTAAAGACAATTACTTTGGACAAGTCCCCCTGCTAAATTAATATTCTTGTACCAACAAACCCTGTTAAAAATACAGTAGTGTCTTAGAAATGAAATTAAAGTTTCTTTACCAACAACAGCATGTTAAAACATTTCTAGTCTGGTAATCAAAAAGCTTTGTTTATTCCTTTGTTAATACACTTATCCAATTAAGTGTATTCTTTGCAGACACTATGAAAAACACAATTAGTTTTAATATCATTTCCAATATTTCAAGAAGAATATTTTACCGAATAATGACTCATCTTAATCATCATAGAAAACAACTTCATTTTCAAAACAGTCCAAAATTTTGACCAAGTACATACCTTTTTCCAGAATTTTTTAGGGCATTCTGGATACCATGTGCAAATCTATTTAATAACAGGGCTCATATACACTAGCATACCTCTCAAGTCACTAAGGCAATTCTGTTAGAAACAATAAATTTGGCCAATTATCAGCAAAACATTGTGAAGTCTAAGCATATTTTCTTTAGCTCATGGGCACTCAAATGAGCTCATCTCGTATGCCCATAGCCCAAAAGAAAAGAGGACAAGCCCAGGAGAATCAAGGGGCGAGAAAATATTATTTTAGTAAAAACTGAAATAGTAATAGTAAAGTAGTTACATAAAGCAATTTCCTATGTTAACATAATAAAAAAGTGTTCTCTATGCATTATCTATAATTACTTGAAATCATCTCAAAGGAATGAGAAGTGTTTGGCCACTCTTTATAATATGTTGACTTTTTTATTTGCAACACAGAAGAAAGTGGAATTTTAAGTATATATAATGCATATTTTTAATTTCAGTGATCATTCTCATTACAGAAACTAACATATATCCCACTGACAATGTTCTTACAACTTTGAATTGGGGTTCAATACAGGAGTGTGTTTCCTATTACATTTAACTCCTGAAATTAAAATTTATTTTATTAAAATTTCATGATATTGAAAAACTTTTAATATAACATTAATGTTTTTTGTATAAGTATGCAATATAAAATATATAAATACTGGACTACACAAATTATAAAAAATATATAGTTCTGGGGCCTTGTTGAAGAAAACAAAAAGCATGCAGTATTTCAAAGATTATAATACAAAGGCCTTTGGAAATTAAGTTCTGTTATAAACACAAGCAGAACCTTTGACTATCACTTCCTAAGTATAAAGGAAAACAAGTAATTATGTGGCCACTGCATATAAGACGACGCGCAAACAACGCAATCTAATCTCTACATTTACAATGAACCCAAAGTAGCTCAAAGACACAACAAACTCTTTTTAAAAGAACTTTCATTACATCCATCATACACCAACCTCCTGCTTTCCTCCTGTGGATGTACATCAAGGGTCACAGAGTAGAATCAAAACACCTCTCTTTAATTTTTTTAAATGGTTGGGAAGCTCCTTGCTCTGCCTGGGCTGCCAAGTCCCCCTTGCTGTCATCGGGATTCTGAGGGGCAATGAGCACAGCTTCACGCAGGCGCTGGTAAGATGCCCCTTTCTGTCTCTGCTATTTGAGGAAGGCCCAGGCCCAGGCCCTGTGTCAGCCACCCAAATTCAAAGATGAGCTGAACAATCGGAGTTGACTAATTACAGTTCATCGACAACACTGCTGACAATAAAATGAAGTCCCGGCAGGGTTTCAGGACCTCTGATCTTTATTATTATTTTTTTTAATCTATAAATTGAGACAGATTTAGGGTCTGGTTGCTCAAAAAAAAAAAACAACTCCATTTCTTTAAGCACACAATTGTGAAGGGTAAGTAAATCTATACATTTGAAAACACATCTGGAATCTGTTTTATAAAGGGCAACAAAACTATTCTAAATTTCACTTTTTTGATCATTTCATTTCTCTAATTAAGCTGTCATTTTTATAATACACAAGGTAAAATTTGGAGACACACGTATATATTTGAAACTCTTTTCGCTAAATTCTCTGAATAATTTATAAAGAACAGAAAAGCTATGAGTTTTCTTCTTTGTGCTTTATAAGTCATCTCTTCTTTTTTCCAGCTCATTAAGAGATTCACTTCCAATAAAATTTTACTTTTAAGTTCAATGTTTATCAAAAGTCTTAATATTTAGGTGGATTTGATCAACTATGGATTTATGTAGAAGAAATTCAATATTAGCAATTAATAATTAGTGGGGTTAATATAGAAGCACTTTTTAAAGTTACAGACTTACTATTGTAGTAAATATAAAAAAATAAACTTAATTTACATTCATATTTATGTTGAATAGGAGTATGGCAGACAGCAGAAAAGTCTTTCAATCATAAAAAATACAGTTGGGAAAAATTCTGTCATGAGAGAGTAACAGAAATATGATTTCAGTGAGTAATATGAATAATAAATATGTTTTCACTGTTAAAGAAGGCCATGTTCAAGTATGGTTAAACAAACAAAGACAGGCATTAGATCACAGCCGAACTGGGAGTCAATGGGATGCTTCTCAAAGAGTGGCATAACCATTTTAAAATGTCACTACCTATAGTACGCTATAAATTATATTCTATTCATATATTTAAACCATAATGAAAAAATTTCTATGTCACAGCTAACAATGTTCAAAGAGACACACGGTTTTACGAAATTACTGCATGAAATATGTAAGCAAAAACAACTGAAGACCACTGAACTATTTTGATCATTAGATTCACATGAATCTCAAAGTATCAAATTGGCAAAAGTAGCTTTTCTATAATAAGATAGCTCTCTACACACATCCATGAAATCTATAACTCTAAATCAGTAACTTTTGAAGTATAATGTAACAGAGAATAAATACTCAGGAAACTTACTATTTTTTAGGCAAGGGACTGAATATCCCAATCACTTAGAAAAAAACTTGACTGGAATTTAAATTTTTTTTAAAAAAATAGTTC